AAAAATCGTTATTCATTAGTTCGTCCTAGACGCGTAAATTGTTAAGAACGGGCTTGGGTGAAGCATTATTTAATTTAAGAGACAAGAACATTGATTTTAAAATATATGATGCCAGCTCGTTGCTCATGGATCTTAGAATTGTAAAAAATTAATTTGAACGTAATACTTTAATATATTAATCAATTTTTTCTCATGCTTAAGAAGGATATATAATTAATTAAGACAAAGATCTCATCACATCATAAATATTATGAATTAAAGCATCAATTGATTTCTCTATTTTTCCTTCTCAAAATATATATCTTGTTACATTATTAAAAAACAATGTAATAATGTGTCGTATAATTAAAGAAATATTATTATCTGGTATAATATCTATTATTTATAACTACATATAAAGAAAATATTGTTTATTTAAGGCACCTTTACACTATAACTAATTTATTTATATTTATTTTAAATACTTTTATTTTATCCTTATTTGTTATCTGTACAACATTTTCTGTAAACACAAAAAATTATAAACCAACACTTTCTATTATAACTGTTGTGATACAGATCTCTTCTAAATTTTATTTTACTTTTTTCTCTTTTACATTTTATTTTTATTTAATAAAATATATTAAAACATGAAATATTAATATTTTTTTATGATTTATAAATATGATCTACATAATATCCTAATTAAAACTAACAACTAAAAACTTATATGCATTGGTGAAATGTAACTTTCATTGACCAAACTAACATAGGCAAAAATCTAACTTAAGAACATCAAATCAATCCCAAAATCTAACAATCCATACAACAAAATAAAAACAATGATTTTATCAGTCATTAAAATGATTTTTAATCGTTTATTACAACGAGAATAAGTCATTACCCCGTGTTGCTGCACTATTATATATAATAAAAACAATGCAACAGTATTGATTAAATTCTAAATAAATTTTTAATCAGTCATAATTAATTTTCATTGACAAATTGAGTCATATATTAAATGATTTTACCATATTAATGATTATTTATTTACTATCTCGTGCCCACGCATGTTTTAAATTAAATGCTAAATTGATTTAAAAACACTAATCAATATCTTGTATCAATATTTATCTTATTAATAATGAATATTTATTAGTTGAGAGTTGAGAAATAATAATTCTTTAATTTTAGATTTAAATTTTAGGTGTCTGGAATTATGATTATTATTATTATTTTATAAATATAATTCACGTTATGTCTCAAAGTTAAACTAATCTATAATTATAAGGGAGTTGTTACAGTACCCTCTAAAATTGAGGAGTTTTAATACATTTTTTTATGTAAACTTATAAAAGATTTAAAAAAATTAATTTAATTATAATTTAGTTTATTCATTGATATTTTCTTAATATTTATTTTAGTCTTATCCTTGACTTTAGTTAGTTTTATTAAGATAGTTTTACCTAATATAACTAAAAAAATAAAGATACTTAAGATAATAAAAAATATTTTAAATTAAAATAATTAAATTATTTTTAGAAGCATAGTTAAGTGACGTAATTACATCACTATAGAAAAGTATCATTTTCCTGCGAATTTTTTTGCAAAAAAATATTCGCAGAAAGTTTTTGTAAATTTTCCTGCAAAAAAATATTCACATAAATTTTTTGCGAATTTTCCAAAAAAAAAAATATTCGCAGAAATTTTTTGCGAATTTATTTGCGAAAAATAATTTATAGATATTTCTTACAAATTTTGCTACAATTTTAATAATCATAAAAAAAATTTCATGGTAAAAATTTGCAGAAAATATTGTAAGAATTTTATTTTCTTTCTTGTAGATTTTCTTGTAAAAATAAATTCGCAAGTAATGTTTACTAAATGGTAGAAAAATTTTGCAGGTAACTTTTCTTGCGGATTTTCCTGCAAATTTTAATCTGCAAGAAAAATAAAAAATATATTTAAATTTATAAGTTTAATATTTTAAAAAAACTTCAAGTCCCACGTCGATTGAAAATAAAACAATTAAAGAGTATATAAGTTGGGGCAATACTTACCTTACAAGTTGATTTGTATGGTTGAGTGTTAAGCTTATAATCTACAATCTTATAATTTAAAAGAATATGTATCACATGTTGGAGGCATGGAAACAAATGTTTCGGATGAATTCATTGTCAGTATTTGAAAGTTGAAGAATTATTTATAGAAATTATAGTAATTTCTTTAATTTTTTCGTAAAAAATATTCCTGCAGAATTTCTTGCGAAAAAATTTGCAGGAAACTTTGTTGCGAATTTTCTTGCGAATTTTTTTTTGTAGGAAACTTTCCTGCAAATTTTTTTTTGCAGCAAACTTTCTTGCAAATTTTTTTCGCAAGAAATTTTCCTGCGAATTTTAAAATTTGTAAAAATATATTATCTACGAAGGTATTACTTGCAGATAAAATTTCGTAGAAAAATTTGTAGGAACAACGTTTCCTACGAATTTTTATGAAAAATTCACAAGAAAAATCGCATGTAATAAGAAAAATTCTAGTAGTGCATGTAATTTATTTTTATTTTTAATATATTTTGAATAGTAAATTTTATTACTTTTTTTATACTTTCCAATTCACTAAATTACTTTTAACATTGTGTCTTTTTAAATATCATAATTTAATTATATTCTTATAATATATTTTTAACGTATTACTTTTGATGTTATTTTTACATTTCTATCAATTATTATTTTACTTATTGCGATATAATTTATTTTTTAATGTTTACAACAAATGATTTTGTCTTTAAAGACTAATATGTATATCTTAAAAGTAAATTGTAAGTGTATAAGTGATTTTTTTTTTGAAAAAAAATATACAATATTAAAATTAAATTAGTGAATTAAAAAATAAGAATAATATGCAATACAATAAAAATTATTGTTCATAATATATATTAAAAATTAATAATATTTTATAGAAGTAAATTATATGTGACTACTTTATTTCCGTAAAATAATAAATACATTACTTAATTAAATTACAAACCTAATTAAAATAATATAATTATTTTAATTTAAAATATTTTTTTATTACTTAGTTGTATTAATTAATATATTTATTTTTTATTTATTACAGCAACAAACTAGCTAGAGATAACATATTAAAATCTAAGAGAAAAAAACACTATAAATCTTAAACCGCAAAACATTAATAATATTTTTGGAATTAAAATATTAACCAATTTAATCCTTTTTAAGAATGAATTGATGTAGAGAAGGATTAAATTCACTATCTTTTAAATTTCAGAGAATAATTAATGTGATTGACCTCAAATCTTTTGTGGATGAAAAAAAGCATTTTATTCTTTTGGAAGAATTTATAATTTATATGGAGTAAAACCAATGAAAAAATTTAAAGGAGTTGAATCACTTGAAATTGAAAATGTAAAACATTTTTTTTCTTCTTATTTCCTCTCTTATCATCGAAGGAGTACGTGTTAGTAATTCTAACAACAACAAAAAAACTAACAAAGGAATAACTATTCACCATTAAAATTCTTTGCTGAGAGATAGGGGAAAGAATAATAAATAATTAAATAAAATCTAACACCTTGCCCATGAATATTAGCATGGTAAGAATTAAGAAATTACTTTAGACGTAGTTCAAATCAACATCAACATCAAATCTTTGGACAGATTATTTTCGTATTAAGCATCTCAATGCAAAAAGAAATGAAGAAAATTATGAATTCAAAATAACTTGATTTTTCTTAAACTCTATCTCTTAAATCTTAATCGACATCTTATTAAGCGGATAAAATCGCCTCCTTTCTTTTCTTAAAGTTAATGTTTCGATCATTCAAAATATTATTTAACATTTGTTAAACCGTCACGCCTTTGTCTTTAAAAAGACGTCTCAACATGTTAAGAAGAGACTACCCTTAATCTCAACTCGTAAGCGATATAGAACATTTTAAATATATTAATGTTTCGACCATCCAAAATATTGTTTGACGCTTGTTGGACCGTCACGCTTTTATCCTTAAAAAAGCGTTTGGTAGGTTAAAAAGAGACTATCCTTAACCTTAACTCGTAAGCGATGTGAAACATTTTAAACATATCCAAACAGTAACAATATCCATATATATATATTACATGTGTAGTAGGATTATTTTGATTTTGCTATCAAAATATATATTTTTTTTTTTTTTTGGGGCAAAAGATGGGTGTACGTGCGTCTATGCATGGATCCGAATGTTACCTCTGCGCGTCCATGTCCGCATTTGCATTTGCATGTCCGTGGCCGTGAAACCCAAACAAAGAAAATGAAGCAAATATAATTTTGACACCAAAACAAATCGTTTTTAAAAGCTTAAAACATTATTTCTTAGAAAATTATGTAATACTGTTGCTAAAACAAGCGAAAAATCCATACATTTTAATTTTTTAGTTCGAGACTGTGTATCAATCCCAAACTTTTCACGCACACCAACCACGCACTTTATGGCACCTTTTGCAACCATCACGAAAAGCAAATAAAGTTTCAAAAGCCCGAAAATATTGCACAATGAAAACTGTAGAGACTAAACCCTAGACTATAGAGAATTTGAAAATTTTGCGAATACGCGAAAATGAACAAAACCAATAATTAACAAAAAGTTACCGTTGAATAATAAAACACTTGTTTTTTTTTCATTAAGTTATTAATCAGCCAATTAAAGTTTAATAATAAAATACGTTGCTCTCAAGTCTTAACAGAAACCTAATAAACTATAATTAATAATCCAAATAGCAGTTTTTATAAACTATATATACATTACCTAGCGTCGTGGCACGTAATTCCGTCATCACAATAAAATGCTACCTATTAAGAAAAACAACACTAGCAAGATTAGGAACAAGAACATAAGAACTTGGTTCCACAAAAACTGAAAAAAAGAGATTGGGAACAAGAACTTGGTTCCACAAAAACCGCAAAAAGAGACAAAGCAATGAAACAGTAGAAACCTACAAAACATAAGAACTAAAGTATCAAATGCATTCAAGAAACGAACATGAAATCTAATAGCAAAGTTGAGAAGTTTCACTTTAACTATAAGAAAGAGGGTGTAAGAATAATAGACAATATAATTTTAGATATGTAAAGAGCAAAGACTAACAGGTAACGAGTCAATACCCGAACCACCACAAAGCAAAGCAAGTTGCTCTTTCTTGGTTCGTTCTTGACTCAAACCCTTTTTCTGTCTCAGCCTCTTCCTCTACTCTAGAATGCTCTATACACCCAAATATAAGACCCCCTATTATGCTTTCTTTCAAAAAGAAAAAATAATTGTCTATTTTTTTGTGATCAAGTCTCAAATGAAAAAAAAATGGTTCATTCTTCATGCAACTCCTAGTGCATCTTTGATCTTCTGAATGGTGCATGAGATGAGGTTATGAACAGTTTCAACTGACTCCACAGTGAACTTGGATGTTTGGTTGCCATTCTGCAACATTTGTAGCCCAACTGTAAGAAGGCAACTGCCACCACCATCACTGCCATCGCTGTTGACCGGATGGCCATCTGGCAGAATAGCAAAGCCTGACGGACGGAGAGCAACAAAGGACGAATCTCCACAGCTCATCACCACGTTCAAGGATTGCATGTTGATCGGCGAATACACCACCATCGAGCCGGAGGCATCAGTCCATGACTCTTGCAGATATTGCACATTGCTGTCTGTGCTATTAGCAGTCTACATATGACACAAAAGAAGAGAATGTTAAATGCAATGTGACGATCTTTCTTTTCACACACTAAAGCCATGTTTGGATAAACTTCTCAACAGGATAGGAAAATAAAACGGTAAAATAAATTAAGTTTCTTTACTGATTAAAATCACAAGATAAAACAAACTTCTGGACAAGTAAACTGAAAAAACTTCAATAAATTAGGCTTATTCATTTTACTTTTTTATTTTGTTCTCTTATAATAAGCCCTAAACTCAAAAACATGCTTTCTTAATTCACTCAAAAACATGTCTCAAATAAAATAAAAACAAAACCTTGCAAAGCATGTGATGCAATAGAAAACTTACAAGGATGGAAACACAATTTCCATCTTCCTGTCCCTTGGGAATCCGGATCATCTCCTGCATTGGACCACCGTTGGACAGCATGTCCCACTCACCTCTAAACTGTCCACTACGCAGAAAGTCAAACACCTTTTGGCGTGACACCGGCATCCAAACAGAAGTTGATGCACTCAGCACAATGCCAGGAGCCTCATTAGGGTCGTCCCCATTTTTCCTGGCCATGATCCTCATGTCATCGCCCAGATTACCAATAGGAAGGATGTCCCACTTGCGTGCAGATGAAGCACAGATCCCTGAGCAGAAGTACTCGGCCATGCGCTGCGCAAGCTTCAGCATGCTCCTCCTACCGGCTTGGTTCATGACTGGTAAGAACAACTTCCGTCAAAATGCAAACTTCGCCGCATTCATCAAAGAGAACAAGTGTTCTTAAGGATGTGACAATGTGACATACCTGTGGGGTCGTCAGATGTGCCAGGAGTGGACATGAGGATTGCCAAGCATTCACACTGCCTTAGGAGGGTGGCAATCCATCTGTGAGCACCAAAGCCAATGCCAGAACTAACCAACGGCCGACAAAGTTGGTGTATCACACTCTCATCATATTGGGAATGTTCAACCCAAGTAATCTACAACAGTGTAATTTAGCTTCAGTTAATCTGATGAATAGTATAAATTCAATGCAATATTAAAGAAAAAATTTTAAGATATGCAAACTTGACTAAAATAGGCCTCAAACACTCAAAAGGATACCATTAAAAACCTTAATTAAAAAAAGGTAGAAAAATTAAAAGAATTAAATATAAATGGAATTAGGGAGGTTTATTGCATACAGTAACCATAGCCAACACTGAACAACAAAGGAAATGTAAAACTGCTAGGTTAATAATATTAAATTAATATCCAAAGGATTAAAAAATGAAACAATTTTCAAATGGTATGCACGGGTAAATCACCACAATGAAGGATTGATCATATTAAAAAGCATGAATTATCAAATTAACTGGCAGTGGCACCATATATACTATAATAGTATGGATGCATATCATTATCATACAGAACAAAAAATATATTAATAGAAGGGTAGAAATAAAAGGATTTAACTCTACTAAAGTGTAGACTATGCAGTCCAGAGAGTAAAGTTCAGAGTGATAGTCGTTGATTGAGGAATCAATGGTAGAGATTTTGATCAAACATATGTACATGCACAACAAATTATAAGTTATGAAATTGTTACAATGTCAACTATTAACTTGAAATTGGTAATAGAGTGGAAGCATAGACTATATAAGTATATATATTCTTTACACAATAAAGATTGAAAAGACCTAGGATTTTTTTTTTTGTTTGTACACTTACAAATAGATGCCCCACAAAAGCCTCAACTATTACTAAACTAGATAAACCTTGTTTCATGCGTTTCTATGAGTTGTAGACAATTTAAGTACAGGCAACATGACACTCCAACAAAGTAATTAGGAGATAATAGAATTTAGGGAAACTATAGGGAAAAGTATAGTAAAACAATAGCAAAAAAACTATACATCGAGATTGGGTTCATTCCATGTAGACCAGTCATGGTAAAAAAAAAAAAAAGAGAGAGAGACACCCTTAACCACAAATGAAACTGTAAATATGATGGGGAATCAAGTAAAAGTTCTAGATAAACTAAAATGTCAGCCATAACAAATCATTCAGTTCATGCTAAACTTAATAAAGAACTCCAAAAATGTCTATTAAATGTTGAGCCTCAAGCAAGCATGAGATGATGCAATGCATACAAAAGAAAATAAGTATCTAAAATATATTATTATAGAACTCACCTTGGAGAAACCATTGGGCATATCCTGAATAACACAGCCAGAAGGAAGCCTCCTGCAGCTCACTAGTGGGTGCAAATTGGCAGCATTACGAGCAATGTCCAGTGAAACATCAACCACAGCCCATACACCTTCTGCATGCTGCTTACAAAACCTGAGGAAACTCAATTGACGAGCAGGGACGAGTGGAGAAAGCAATTGTATCTCGGCAAGCATCTGAAAAGCATTGCGTAATTAGTTCCAGCCAAATATAGCAAAGAAACCAAACAAAAAAGCAGAGAAACATAAGCATACCACTTGCAAAGCCCCACTTCTGGTACCACCAGTGCCACTAGATATTACATCAAGAGTGGCAGCACTAGCAACAATAGATGCAAACATCTCCAACCATCGATCCTGTTGACATAAATGATAAATCAAAAAGATATATGCATTCAACTGTGGCCAATTCAAGACCAAATAATCATCATCATATTCAGTCACAAGTTATATCACCATACCAAATTGTTCAACAAGAAAATATCTTCAAACTATGGGCTAAATTTTATGAACTAAAAGATAAATATGGCCTACAATAGAGTGAAGCTTCTTTTGAATCTACTCTTGATTTGTTAATAACTGCTCTAAATTTCTTATAAAATCAATTAAACTTCATTTTAAGACTAAGAAGTTGGGTATCATACCACGTCCATCAATGTTTCCACAAGGGCCAAACCGTTGGCTAATACTACTCCAGTTCCTCTAGTAGCTTCAGTTACATAACCAGCAGGTTTTGGTCCAATATAAGGAGAACACATTCTTGCATACTCCTCATGGTTCAGCACTTCATTCCTGCCATCAGAACTCTTAATCCAAAGAGGGCTATCAGCCTGAGTCATCTTAACCAATTCATCCATAGCACTTAATGCAAGATCTAAAAGCATAGTTCTCTCCATCTGGACATCATTTCCCATCATTCCCATTGGTGATCTAGAACTCATGTTAGCCATCATAGGTGAGGAGCCCAAAACCCCATCTCCCACATCGAGTCCCATTGGCAACGACATCCCAAAATTGCTTGGACCAGCAATTCCATTTCTTCCTATAGCAAGCTCTAGACAAGAATTTGAGGCCGGCAGAGGCATGGGGCTGGCCATTGATGAGAGGGGCCTGCCCAGGAACTTGTTTGCTAATGCGCATATTCGGTTCAATTCATCCTTTAGCCGAGCATTTTCAATTCTAGTCTGGTGTTCCTCCAGTGAAATTTGACCAGGAATGGCTGGACCACCACAGCTGTTACATATCGGATTTGCCAAAGCTTCCTTCATGACACTGTTCTCAGCTCGGAGCTTGTCATTCTCCTGCTTAAGAATCATGTTCTCATGACGTTCCATTTGCGTCTGAATCAACAAAAGCAATTCATTTAATGTAATATCATCAATGCATCAACAAACTGCATACAAGAGAACAAAATACTAATGTATGTAAATTGGAACCAAATCACATCCCCCCCCCCACAAAGATTTTAAATTGCTGTCAGTTTTGTTGCGATCCTTTTTGCCAGAAATTAAGGACAAAGCGCCACAATTGTGATCGCGATACCGTTTCAGACAAAATCACCAAATTAAGGAGTAACTTTTCCGCCGAAAAAATAACAACTGAGACCCAAAGGTTTTAATTGCTGTCAGTTTTATTGAGATCCTTTTAGCCATAAAAGGCGGACAATGCGACCAATTGTGAGCACAATAAAATTTCACCCAAAATCGCCAAATTAAGAAGTAGCTTTTCCGCCGAAAAATAACAACAAAGATACAGAATGTTCCTTTTTAACCAATTATGATTTTTTAATTAAGGGGACAAGTAACTGGCAAATGATTTTAATCTGTTCCAACATGCCTTCATTTGGGTTCGTCGGTTCTGAAACCAGAACTTGACTTGCTTATTCTCCAAGCCAAGCCTCTTGCTAAGATCTGTTCTTTGCTTCTCATCAGGATGAGGACACTCCTTGAAGAACCTAAGATGTAAACAGCAAAATACAACATAAAATCAACCCCTAGCAAACAATTCAATAAAGGATAATCACATTTGTAAGAAAAATATAGCAAAACTTTATAAAGCCATACGCTTCAAGCTCCTGAATTTGTTGAGGAGTGTGTCTATGGTATTTCTTCTTCTTTTTCTGTGGCTGATCATCACCACCATCTTGATCATCACCAGATCCACCATCAAAATTATCACTTCCAGAGCGGCTTTCATACTCATCATCCCTCATCCTCCCCAGCAAATTACTAGTATCAAAACTTTCTCCAATTAGACCCATTTCACTATGGCCTTCCATTTTCCTATGCTGCAGATTAATAGTCCCATTAGCAACAATAACAACAACAAAGATGAGAAATAAGATGCACAAATCTAATTCATAACAATCCATACAAAAGCAAACAACAAAACTTGATACACAGGGAGTTCTAAACCAAAGGGGAGATCAATCATACATCAGATAAACACAAGCTAGAGGAATTTTGCTTTGAAATGTTAATGGGTGAAGAAAAAAGAGGTGGCTCAAAAGTGTAAACACTAGCCATGAAAAGGTTAAAAGGAAAAGTATGCACCACAACTCTTGCACCCCCACCAACCACTGTTCTCACTATAGCTGCTAAACAAAACCCTCAAACCCTATAAAAAGTTATGGATCTTTTTCTCTCCCAAACCCAAACTCAAACTACCATTGTTTTTATATACCAAAACAACATGCAAGTACTGTATTCTCTATTTCGTTCTCTGGCCCCTTGTTTTCTCCAGGCTCTTTTCTGAAATTGTCACTATAACTTTTTGTCAAGGCACTTTTTCATTTCCGTGGATTCTTCGCTCAACTTTTTGACCTTAACCCGAAATTGGGTCAAACGTTCACAACATTGGAAAAAGATATACTCATAAACAGAACCCAAAATATAAAAAAACGCTTCCTTGTCAACGCTCCATGCATGAGTTTCACCCCCACTCCTCCCTAGAATTAAGTCATTCCAGATTCAGATGCACGAAAAAACAAGATAAGGAAAAACCCTTTTTTTCTGACTCAATGTTCACACCTGTTTCTCCAATTTGCACAACCCTCCAAATCAGAAAAAATGAAAAGTGACGAACTACAGTAAATGCCCTTGATTTTTTTCTTCCTGTGGTTCACACCTGACCCGGTCAGGCCAATTCTTTGTCACTACTAAAAAAAATTTTCCAAGGAGAAAACCCAAAAAAGAGTCTTGTCCAAAGCCATTGCACAAGCCAAAAACAATGAGCAAGTGAGGATTTTTTATGAAAAAAGACAAAAACAAAACACAAAACACAAAAACAAGATTCACACTGCACCTCACTTTTCAAATGCATGACACCAAATCATAGAAAAAGACCCAGTTGACTCACACCACCACCCCTCCCTCACTGATACAAAGTAAAAAAGTTGAACCACACAGAAACGAAGCCAGGTACGGTGACAAAGTTATACCTTTTAGTTTAGCAGTCCCAAGCAAAATGCAGAAAAACAAATTCTTTCTTATTTGTTTAAATTTTCAGATCCTTCCACTCTCTCTACCTGGGATCTGTAGAAGAGAAAAGGACAGAGAAAGTATCATATCATATGTTATAATGCTATTACATAAATAATAAATAACTTGGAAGAAGAAAAAAAGTATTTTTTTTATTCAACACTAGTAAAAAAATAACATAGCTGACTTACAATGACTCAAAGAATCAGAATTCAGAAAGTCAATGGCTTTCAACTATCTGAAACCCAAATCAAAACCAAGACCCTTTGAAGCAAAACTCAAAACTCAAAACCCAAATCCCATTTTGAATCCAATGTCTGTCTCCTTGGTTGGTTCTCTTCCTTCACTAAATGGCATGCAGAGTTTCTCTCTCTAAATCTTCTGAAATCTGATAGACCCTTTCTCTATTCTTTCTCTCTCTTCATATTCTCAACTTTTACTTTGGACATTTGGCAATATATAGGACCTGAAGAGGGAGAGTGAGAGAGGCGTGTGGGGCCCACTGACAAAAACAGCGGTTCGCAATGTCCGCGAGGCGCGTGAGACACGCGCGCGTGGGATGTTTGTCCTTCGACGCTGTCTGGGTTTTTAGATTGCCCTGTGTTTCCGCGGCAGCGCTACAGTGCGGGCAGGACCACAGAAGAAATTTTATGTTACCCAATGAGAGTACTCGAGGGCAGTTTTGTCTTTTCACAGAAAGAGTATTTCTGGCGTGACCCTCTCCGGGATTGACAAAATCCGAATATTCAATTATCGGATTTTGCTTATTTTCTCCTTTTTTTTGCAAAACGGGAAAAGAATAAAAAAGAAACGAAAAAAATCCTAGTTTGCGTAATTTGAATCCTATTTTTTACTATATTCGACGTTGACTTAGAGAAGAAACAAAATCACAAAATCCTCTCGTGTTTCAAATTTTCTTCAACTTTTTTCTAATAAGGTAAGAAAATGACTTACTTAAATTGTTAGTCAATGCCGACTTCACATGATAAGGAAAGATTTATGACTAGACTGCCACGGATACATTTTGTTTTTTTTTTTAATTTATTTTCATGTCAATGTTTGCACAATACTTTATATTATTATAATTTAATAAAGTTTGACTTAATCGTATTATTAAAAAGTTTGACTAATTAAATAATTATTCACACACTGAAAATTTTTCAACAATACATGTGATACAATATAATTAAATATAAGTAGTATAAAGAAACTATAATTTGATTTGTGAACAAATGAAAAAAAAATTCAAAGTAAGATTATATTTAGTATTTGTTTCCATTAAAATGCGTGACTTTCGTGGCTTTTTTGTTAAAAATACAGACCGGGTGGAAAATGCTTAAGAAAACACATTCTTGGAAGTCATTTTTATAAAATAAAAAAATAAAAATAAAAATGATTCAATGTTGTAAATTTAGCAAATCATTCCAAAAATGACAATCCTATTTATATAGTGTAACATGTTTACTTTTATCATTTGAATCTACTATCTAGTATATGGTTAAAAATTATCTATATATTAACGAAACGTTGTTATCCTTTGTTTATTAATAGTGCATAAGAATCAAATCGTCACTCTTTTTCCAACTATTCCAATCAGGATTTGAAAAACAGAAAAATTCAAGGGTGAGAAAAATCTAATATGTTATAGCCAATCTGCTACAATATATAAAATCAAAAAATAAAGTCTAGTTTTGGACAAAACAAAGTCTAATTTTTGGGGGAAAAATCACATAAATATTAGAGTACTACTAAAAGAATTTCATTTAATAAAGACATTAATTTAGTTTGTTCTTTTTTAGTATTAATTGTGTAACAAAAAAGTTATCAATAAATTTGCACTAATAATATGATATAATGATATTATATATCAGTTTTCAATTTTAATATACTATTATAATTTGATTAAGATAGATGTGGATGGTATCTTTCATTGTTGGATGAGAATGCATCTTATATTTTTGAGGTATATATAATAAAGGGTATGATAAAAATAATATATATAAAAGATAATTCTCATTTTATAATATTATAAGGTTGAGTTAAATATAAATTTATAATTTAAAAAGATGATATAAGCGTTGATGTGATTAGCTAATTAGCTAATCAAATCTTATTGATTAGCTAATCCGTTAATCAAATTTTATTTTTCATTGTAACATCAATTTATATTTCAGTATTTTTTGATATGGTTGTTAAAAATAACTATTCTCACTATTATATAAGATATGTATCACAAGTATTGATAATCAATTCATAAAACTATTATTCTACATATACATGCATATTTGTACATGGTATCAGAGAGCCGGTGTAATTCTAGAGATAGAGAAATAATTAATATCATTTATCACATGGTGAGAGGCTCCTGAGTCAAGAAGCCATGAAGTATCATCTTGATCGCCAGTGACAGATCCAGAAATTTTAGATAGTGGGGATAATATTTATTCATATATCTATAGTATTAAAAATTTTATAACTTTTAAAAACATAAATACATATCATAATTATTTTTTACAAGCTTTTATATCTACGATTACTATTAAAGATGAAAATAAATTAGGTTATACTAAAATTTATTATAATTTAGTAGGTTTGAACCTAACTTTCTTTAAAAATATATATCTTAAGTATGACTTATTTATCTATTATAGATATTTTTTTAAATGTTTGGTTAGAACTACAATCCTAAAGACCTACTTTATAATAATTTAACACTATTAAAAATATATTAAAAAAATATGTTAAATTTTATAAAAATCAAGTTTAATTTATTTATGATATAAACATGTTTTTAATATCTAATATATTTTTAGATAATAATTTATTTTAAGATATATTTTATAATAATAATTCTAAATGGAACATAAATTTTTTTATTTTTCTTATTTTAATTTTTTTAATCAACGTATACAATAAATAGAAAACACAAAAGGTAAACATGTATATTGCAAATTTTATTTTATTAGAAATTAATTTTTTTAAAATATTAATATATGTTAGTATTAATATATATATATATATATTATAATTAAATCTTTTA